ACTTTCCTCTTATTCCATCTTGTGTTTCTCTTTTTTTTTTTTCTGTTTCCCCCCTGGGTTTCTGCTCAGTCCGTTATCAACTCTTTCTGTCCTCTGGATTCCTTCCCTCACACCTATTCTGTCCCATTGTGCACGTGTTTCCCCTCGTTTTTATTTCTCCCCAGTCCTTCCGATTGTCCCCAGTCTCCATGCATTTCAGCCTCTTTCTTGTCCCACCTGCGCTCTTTCCCTGCTCTCCGTTATATTCCTCTCTTCTTTCTCTGTTATACTCCCTTGGTCCCCACTCTTTGGCACCCCCAGGTAGCTATACTTCCATTCTGATTTCTTCCTCCGCTCTCTTGTCACCTCTTTCCTGTCTCAACTACACCTTCCTCTGTTGGCCAAGACTTTAACTCTTTAGTCCTCTCCTCCATCTGACGTGCCTCTCACCATTGTTGCCTCCACTCCTCCTCTGAACAAGGGCCCTTCCATTTTGCTCTCCTTCATCTCCCTGGAGACCGGGCTTTCCTCAAACTTCTACTTTTTCCACCTGCTACTTTCGCGGCTTATTCTCTTTACAAAGTCCCTCACCCATCCTCTACGTTGCCTCTAGGTTTTCTTTCAATGGCTTTCTCCCAATCGCCCTCCATCACACACTGAGTAGGCGTGGGATGAAATAAGACAACCGCCTCCTGGAAGAACCACGTTTTCAAGTGGGGAGGAATTTGGGGCGAAATACACTGGGTGTCACTAGGCAGGCCAAGTCATTCACCCCAGCGCGGAGTCAGGGGAAGAGGTGACCAGGGACAGGGGGTTCTGGGGAACAGAAGCCGACGCGAGGAGAGGGGGCGGGGAAGGTGCCCCAGAAGGGTGGGCTCTCCAGAATCGTCGGCCGGAGGAGGATGCGGCCTCTCCCGAGAGGCTGCAGGGACTGCCAGGCAGGGCCGACAGGGCGAGGCTGGGGCGGGGCGGGAATCCACCTCGTGGAAGGGGGCTTTTCACGACGTGAGGTGGGCGGCGGGCTCCGAAGAGAATTCCAGCAGGACACGGACGGGAAAGCCGGTGTCTGCGTGGCCCGAACGCGGAAACGCCGGGGACAGGGGCCAGTTTAGCTGCGATTTTAAACAGAAAGGGACGCGCCCCCGGCCTCCCAATGTGACGTCTGAATTTACTTGGGGTGCGTGGCGAATGCGAGGATTTTAAGACCCGTAGCGATACCCAGACCCCGGCTTTGGAGGAGAGGGGACTGCAAAGAGCAGGTTTAAACTATAAAGACGGAAACTCACACTCAACAGCGAAACTTTTGCTCCGCGCTTTCCGCTTCCGGGTCTACAGGAACCTGAGGGCGCGTGCAATAAAAAGACGAAGGGGCCGTGTGTGGGAGGGGCCTAAGCGGGGCGTGGCCGTCAGGGGCGGGGCGTGAAGTGGTGAGGCCTCAGCAGGTACCGCGATGGGGGCAGGACAGAGCCGGTGAGGGGCGGGACCCGAAGGGAGGTGAGGCCTCCGCAGGAGCGGGACGAAGCTGGAGAGGGGGCCGGGCTTCGGAGAGCCCGTCAGGGGGCGGAGCGTGGAAGGAGGCTAGACCACAAGGGGGCAGGTACGGTGAGGGGGCAGGTACCGCGAGGGGGCAGGTACCGCGAGGCGGCAGGTATATGGCGGGTGTCCCTCCCCTCGCTCCCAAGGTGTCTCTCTGCCAGGTTTAAAAATGATTCTTGAAATATCTCCAGGAGCAGCCTTGCTTCCTGCTTATTTCACGGTCTCTAACAGTTTTAAGGTAAAAGCCCGTGAAGCTGAAGCAATTTGGGGGCCAGGGAACTGGGTTCCTGGTGGTCTGTGGGGACGTGGTGGGTGCAGGAACATTTCTTGTAGTTAGGATCAATTTAAGTAGTTTAATTACACAGCTGGAGCTGTTTGTGTCGGGCTTACAAACTAGAATGTAAAATTCAAAACTCCCTGGAGAGAAAGGGCAATTCCATACGGACACCCAACAAAATGGCATTGCTTTTTCAATTCCCCAATCACCCAGGAGGCCAAACTCAACGCTGTGCTCAGTTCCGAAGACTTGCATAGGGACGAGACCAGAGGAAAGAGGCGTGGAGGGCGAAGGCATACATAATTTGGGTTGCCAACCACTGCTTTAGGAAGAAAACTAACTTTTTAAAAAATGTTATAAATTGCCTTGTTGTCGTTTATGTTTGTTATAACAATTTATTCTGTTACACGCTTGAGATGACTTACCTTCAAATACCTGAGTTTAACTTTACATCATAATATACTTAAATCAGTATCTAAATATAATTTCAAAATCACTACACATACCTTCTCAAAGTACAAGGTTTTTTATTTACAAATTGTATATTTTAGTTCTTTGCTTTCTAAATGTTTACAAAGCTTGTAACATATG